GAAAACAGTATGGAGATTCCTCAAAAAGTTAAAAATAGAATTACCCTGCAATCCAGCAACTGTACTACTAGGTGTTTACCCAAATGAACAAAAACACTGATTTGAAGGGACACAGGTACTCCAATGTTTATAGCAGCATTATTTACAACAGCCAAATTATGGAAGCAGCCCAAATATCTATCAATGGATAGATGAATGGGTAAAGAAAATGTGGTAAACATATACAACTGAACATTACTCAGTCATGAAAAATAATAAAATATTCCCATTTGGAACGACAAGAATTGAAGTGGCAAACATAATGATAGGTGAAATAAGTCAGTCAGAGAAAGACAAATACCGTATGATTTCGTTTAGGTCTTTAATCCATTTTGAGTTTATTTTTGTGTACGGTGTACGAAAGTGTTCTACTTTCATTATTCTGCATGTTGCTGTCCAGTTCTCCCAGTACCATTTGCTAAAGAGACTTTTTCCATTGGGTACTCTTTCCTGCTTCGTTAAAGATTAGATGGCCATACATTTGTAGGTCCAATTCTGGGTTCTCTATTCTATTAGTCTATGTGTCTGTTTTTGTGCCAATACTGTACTGTCTTGATGATTAGACCTTTGTAGTAAAGGCTAAAGTCTGGGATTGTGATGCCTCCTGCTTTGGTTTTCTTCTTCAATATTTCTTTGGCTATTTCGGGTTTTTTGTTATTCCATACAAATTTTAGGGTTGTTTGTTCTAGCTTTGGGAAGAATACCAGTGGAATTTTGATTGGGATTGCATTGAACGTGTAGATTGCTTTGGGTAGTAATAGCATTTTAACAATATTTATTCTTCCAATCTATAAGCATGGGATGTTTTTCTATTTTTGTGTGTGTGTGTGTGTGTCTTCTTCAACTTACTTCGTAAGCTTTCCATAGTTTTCAGCATATAGATCTTTTACATCTTTGGTTAGGTTTATTCTTAGGTATTTTATGGTTCTTGGTGCAATTGTAAACGGGATCAGTCTCTTGATTTCTCTTTCTGTTGCTTCATCATTGGTGTATAGAAATGCAGCTGATTTCTGCACATTGATTTTGTACCCTGCAACTTTATGAATTCACGTACCATTTCTAGCACCCTTTTCGTGGAGTCTTTCGGGTTTTTCTTATAGAGTATCATGTCATCTGTGAAAAGTGAAATTTTGACTTCTTCTTTGCCAATTTTGATACCTTTTATTTCATTTTGTTGTCTGATTACTGATGCTAGGACTTCCAACACTATGTTAAGGGGTATTTGACATACCAAGCTGTTTAATAAAGGATTAATCTTACCCAAAGAAACGTTTGGCCCTTTGGCTTGGCTCCTGGGAGGTAATTTTGTAAGTCCTTAGAATGTCCTACCTGATAAGAATGAGTCATCTAGAAGTCCTGCTAATGATTTCCTAAACTCCAGGGTAACCTTGGGGACCTCATGAACTCATATTAGCTTTCTCCAGTCCAAGTCTCATAAATGATTTCTACTATATTCTATTACATACGCTTCCTGATGTAGTCATGTTACTAATGCACACTTATCTCAGGGCATTATCCAGGGCTGGAAAGAGGCAAGGAGGTTGTCTGAATGAGTAGGGGTAGAGCCAGACTTACTAATGTGGCCAATGACTTCTGTTGTTTTAATTCAGAAATAAGCCATTCTCTTTTCTTGATTCTCTCCTTTTGGAATGTTTAACAGACACATGTGGGAACTTCTTGATTTACTCTCTACATTTTCCTCTGTGCTACGTTCTGAAAAATTTCTTCTGGTTTCCCCTGCAGTTTACTAAGTCTCTCTTCAGCTTTATCTAATATGCCATAAACCCATCTACTGAGTTTTTTATTTCAATGGCTACTTGCTCCTGGTGTTGTTTAATTTGTTCCTCTATCTCTTGTATTCACTATAAAATGGGTGGTTAGGTCTAGAAAACTGATTAGATTCAGATTACTTTTTACACATTAATATTTTATAATCAGTGCTATATATCTTTCTTTCCCTTTACATCAAAAGATGTATAATGTCTAGCTGACTCACTTTTACTGATGACAAAATTAATTGGTGGTTCAGGTAGTATTAACGTGCTCTTTTTATTACCAAGTTCCCCATCAGTCTTTCAATGATTTTGTTAACATTGTTGATATTATTCATTATCCATTAGTTGTTGCAAAAAAATGTTTTCCAATTCTGTCATTCCTTATGTATCAATTATTTGGTCATTCTGAAATGCACTTTATATCATATTTCCTAATATATTAATTTCTTATGTTTTTCAAATTATTAACTTGGTGCCCCAGGACTCTCCAAAAGCAATCAGAGGCTTTATTTTTAGGTACCATTATGAACAGATGGATTTTTATTTATCTTATGGTTTTCAATCCATTGCAGTTATAATTCTTTTATCCTCACATAATCTCATATTAATTCAGTCGAAACTCCTTCAGGTTGGCTTTTGACCTGACCCCATTCATCTTTAATAGCTTCCTTGATTTCTGACACAAGATGTCCCAAGTTTAACTCATACGTTTCTGTTCCAGATGTGAAGTCAGTCATTTTTCAAGGATCCTTGGCTCCTTTTAGAGAATGTGCTTGGTACTGACTGCTTCTAGGTTTGCAGGCTTTCTAAGAAAGACTTTTATTGAGAAAAATAAATCATGAGTTCATACTGTATTTCCAAATTGAATTTAAGACTACAAGGCTTGGGGCGACTGGGTGGCTCAGCTGGTTAGGTGTACGACTCTTGGTTTTGGCTCAGGTCACAAATTCACAGTTCACGAGTTCGAGCCCCATGGGACTCTCTGTCTCCCTCTCTATCTACCCCTGTCCCTCTTGCTCTCTCTCTCTCTCTCAAAATAAGGCTTTTATTTTGCTTCTTTGATTTTATTGTTATGTTCTGAATTGTGTCCCCCCTCCCCAAGTGGGTATGTTGAAGCCCTAACCCCCAATGTGATGGTATTTGAAGGCAAGCCCTTTAGGAGGTATTTAAGATTAAATGAGGTCATAAAAGGATGGGGCTCAAATCCAATGAAATTAGTGTTCTTGTAAAAGAAAAGGAAGGGGCGCCTAGGTGGCTTGGTCGGTTAAGCGTCCGACTTTCGCTTAGGTCATGATCTCACGGTTCGTGGGTTCGAGCCCCGCGTCGGGCTCTGTGCTGACTGCCAGCTCAGAGCCTGGAGCCTGTTTCAGAGTCTGTGACTCCCTCTCTCTCTGACCCTCCCCTGCTCATGCTGTCTCTCTCTCTCTCCTAGAAATAAATAAAACATTAAAAAAAAAAAAAAAAGAAAAGGAAGACACTCTCTTTCCCTGTGCACACATACACAGAGGAAAGGCCATGTGAGGACATAGCAAGAAAGTGATCATCTGCAAGCCAGAAAAAGAGCTCTCATCAGAAACTGACCCTGACAGCTCCTCAATCTTAGACTTCTAGAGAAAATGAATTAATAAATTTAAATAAAAATAAATTAATTAATAAAAGAACTGCGAGAAAATAAATTTCTGTTGTTTATGCCATACTCACACAACACTTACCTCCTCTCTGTCCCCTTGCTTCACATGGCCAATTTCCCAATCACATCTCCAACCTGCCTTCTCTCTTCCATTCTCACTGCTTCAATTTAGGTTTACACCATCCCCTGACAAAGCATCCAGCCTTCAATGTCTCCAACCTCTATTCTGCCTTCCAGACTCCTACCATAATGATGTTGAAAGCTAGCAAAAGTATTCATATCTTTCAAAGGCTTCTCATCACTTAGAAGAAAAAGTGAGACCCTTAACAAGAAATCCTTCCTAGTAGAGGCTTATCCCTGAGCAATTCCGATCCCTGCCATTATTTTCCTAGCCCTATTTCCTGGTAGTATCACACTCCTTCACACACTGTCTCTCAAATCCCAGCACCCCTGCACATGCTCTCCTCTCAGCCTCAAATGTCCTCCCCACATCCCAAATCCCTCTATTTTCAAGCTATAGCCCCTGGCCAGGGGCTATGTACTGATCAGGTCTCCTCTCTCTGCAGTTACACATTCCTTTCTCAAGTTTCCCATTACTAATGGTTGTTTTATAATCGTTTCTTTACTCACCTTTTCGTGGACTTTTAGAGAGTGGGAGTCTTCTTTAATTCATCTTTTTGCCTAGCACAGAGTCTGAGAAGTGTTCAATAACTGTTTGCTAGAAAGAAGTGAGTGTTGGACAAACTAATGTATGGGTGAAGTCTTATTTTCCCAGTCTTCTCTCACCAGTTGCTAAGATGTTTCAATGGTCAAAGATGATTGACCACACCCATACTTTGGCCTTCAAATTGTCTGTGCCAGTTGCCTATTGTTTTCTGTTTCTCTTAACTTCTAATACATTCTCAGTCCTCTTTTTATCTGAGAAGACATTATCAAGCAGTCTGGGCTCGTGGCCCATCTTACTCCTTCATAATTGTCATACATAAATATGTGCCGGTACTCGGCTTTTCTCCATCTCACAGATACTGAGAAATAGTACCTAAAATCATATTAGGCACAAAAACCTACAGAAGTTTATCTTAAAAGCAGCTGAAGGGATAGAATGCATTCAGCAGGGTCCAATGTTTCAGTGTTTAATGAATGAATGAGGTTCCTCTGATTTGGAAGGCCTTGTCCAGGCCTGGGAGCTTAGCGGGAAAAGAAGAAATCGAACAGAAATAGTTAAATAAAAGACCGTAATGCTCCACGCTCCAGCCGTCCAGTGCGTGGAGTCTACAACTCTCCTCGTGACCCGGCTCCACGGTTCTCTTTAAGGGGGAGTGGGCGGAGCCCTGCCTTTACGCCCGCCCATGGCTAAGAGAACACCCGGCCAATGAGAGGAGCGGTCCGGGGCGGAGCGACTTGCAAGGGCTGACGTCATCACGCTTCGGCCGTCGACGCTCCGGCGGGCATTCCATAGGACGTGCGTCTGGAAGGTAAAATCGGGAGGTGAGCGCGGTTTCCGCGCAGTCGTTGCGAAGAGTGAATTCGGGGACGCAAGGTGTCGACGGGTGAGAGCCTGGAGGCGAGGAGAGTTGCCTGACCCTGGGGTTGTGCAGGGCGGGAGGATCAGTCACCCCCAGCCTTCCCCAGGCTCGGCGGGATGGACTCGGCATTACCTGATCAAGAAAGCAGCCTCAAGTCAAGGTCTCCTTCAGTGAGGAGTACACCCCGGCTGCTCCCCCAAGGCCTTTTGCGCGCGTGTAGCCAGGCTGTGAGCCTTGGGGAGACGCAAGCCAGCGGAAGGAAAGAAAGAAGGGACGCCAGTAAAAGCCCACGTTTATTCGCGCTCTTGAGCGCCTTATAGGTTAAACCTTCCAAGCACTTCTGTGAGTAGACCCTGTTGTTATTTCCGTTTTGCACAGGGAGACACGGAGGCTTAGAGAGGTTAAAATGACAGCTTTGTAAATAGTATAAAGCTGGGAGGTTGGGTTAAGGAAATAGTGAGACGCTTAAGTGGTGATTCCAGAAGGCCAGCAAAAACTGTTTCTGACTTTCAGTTCCAGTAACAAAATTCCTTTGGTGAGTCATAACAAACAGAATATTAAACATCGAAATTTGTTTTTCAGGTGATCAAAGCCACATAATGTCAGTAGTTCGTTCATCCGTCCATGCCAAATGGATCGTGGGGAAGGTGATTGGAACAGCAATGCAAAAAACAGCTAAAGTGAGAGTGACCAGGCTTGTTTTGGATCCCTATTTATTAAAGGTGAGGAATGTTCCGATTTTCAGATGGCATTGATAAATCATCAACATGTTACAGGTTCTGAGCAGAGAAACCATTTCCTGTCAATACAGATGCACTGAGCATCTGCTGATTTGTGGGTATAACAAAGTGAATGAATCATGGTTCATTCTCAAATTCTGAGGACCTACACAGTTAATTTCAACTCAGTCTGATACCTGCTATAGCCCTTCTATGTGCAAAGTACTGGGACCAGAATGCAGGACACCTGATTTCTTTCCACATTGCTGAAAGAGAGCATCCTCAAAGACATTTGAGCTGAATCTCAGAAAGGCTTTTATCCAAAGGACCACATTTGGGGGAGTCATTCTCCACATGATGAGTGGTATGTGGAAGTTTTTTTAGCCTTATAGGGCATGACATTGTACAGGAAGTAGTAGTTTGGCAAGGTTGAGCCCAGAGCTTGACCCTAAGTAGGCATTGGCTGTTTTGAGTGAATGCGAGAACAGTGGAAGCTGGGCTGAGAAAGGCCTTTAATGTAGTATTTTTGGATTTCATCGTATAAGCAAAGGAAAGACAGATTTGGAAACATACAGATAGAGATGAGGTCGGGAGGTAAGGAAATGGGTAAGAAGGCTATTGCAAAACTCTAGAATGGAAATGATAAGAACCTGGACAGTCCTTGAAGCAAGTGGAATGGAGTGGGAAAAGTGGATTTCAGAAAGAAGGGACAGGGTCCTTGATTTGTTAGATGTGGAAGAGAGGGCGGGGAAAGTGCCAAGGAGAGTTCTGCATACAAAGTTGGGCACACAGGTAGGTAGAAATGCTCTTTGTTATCTAGGATCAAAAACATAGGAGCAGAGGTGACAGGGTTAAGGGAAAGGGTCTCCAGATGAGTTAAAGAGCAGAATAAAGTGGTCTTTTATTAACAACAATACAGGAGCAAGCTGAAGAGTGACAGCCTAATCATTGGCCTAAGAGTCAGAAGACCTTAGGTGATTTTTGACTGTTGTTTACTAGCTGCACACATTAGCAAACTCCAGAGCCTGTTTTCTCATGTGTACAATGAGAGCACCTTCTGCAGCAGGGTTGTTACGAGCATCTGTGGCTTGTTTGCAGTACTTTGAGCCAGGCATGGAGCTAAGTGTGGTGTGTATATTTAGAACATTTAATTATCTGGATAACTTTAGAGGTGCAGACATTGGAGCCTCATTTTATGTTGTAAAAAAACTAAGCTTGGAGTGATTAAGTGACTTGTCCCGCATCACACTACTCAGCTAGTAGTGAGAGTAGCATGTTGGTAGCCTGGAGAGAAGGCTCCACTAGGAAGGAAGTGTTTAAATAGTGTAGAGAAGGATGGTGATTAATAGACAAAGATCCTGAAGGTAATAGGCTGGAGAGTTCACTCCGTGGTCCACTCTGGGAAAGTCATTGCTGTTTTCCAGAAATTAAGGAGCTAATTTTTGTATGGGAAGCCTCCTAAAGTGTATTTTCTTTTTTTCCCAAGTCCAGCTCGTTTTCTGTGCATTACTTTTTATATTCTATGCTGCATTGTCAGATCACAGATGGGAGCTACTTATTGTTCCTACTTCTCTCAACAGTATTTTAATAAACGAAAAACCTACTTTGCCCATGATGCTCTTCAGCAGTGCACAGTTGGGGATATCGTGCTTCTCAAAGCTCTACCTGTGCCACGAACAAAGCATGTGAAACATGAACTGGCCGAAATCATTTTCAAAGTCGGACAAGTCATAGATCCAGTGACCGGAAAACCCTGTGCAGGAACTACCTACCTGGAAAGCCCAGTCAGCTTGGAAACCACCTGCCAAACTGAAAATCTAGAAGAACTGAATAGCTCTTCAGCACAGTGAAGGAAGATTAGAAGGAGCCAAAGGGAAAGATTTATAAGTTTGCCTTATAGAAAAAGAAATGTTTCTAAATTTCATTACAAACTGTCCAGTTTCTCTTCTGGTATTTATGGAATAGCTAAAAGGAAATGAAGTAAAGGCCTTGTTAGAATTTTCCATGAGTTTAAGGCCATGTTTGAAATTTCCTTTTCATTGGACATACTTACCTCTTACAGGAAGTATACCTAGTAATCCCCTGCATTGTTTTGTAAGCTCGCTGTTTTAGAAGATGTATCTTTTTTTTCATTCAACGGAATCTGGAATTTATCTTAGAATCTTTATTTGGGGAGGAAAAAACCTTTTGATATCTTAAAACAGAGAAGACCGCCAAAAATCAGTGAATATTTATTTTTGGTGGTATATATTAAAAGTTAATTAAAAATTGTTTCTTTGATTTAACCAGTTACAAATGGAAATAATCAACAGTCTGATTGGGGTCAGACCTTATCAGATTAAATAGTAAGAATGTTGACATATGAAAAATAAAACTTGAAAATTCTGTGTCACTTTTTCTTTTATCCTGTATTCTAGAGTATATTCAATAGGACTGAGTTAATAAAATCTGATAGTGATGAAATTGTAGAGTTCCTCATACTGTGCATTTGAGTTGGAGAGTTTGAGTTTTGTTGCTGTTTATTAATAAACTATGAACCTAGATTTTGACCTGAAGAAACATTGAGTTACATATTTGTTTCCTGGCTCCTAGAAAGAGATTTGGAGCATATTTCAGCTTCAATTAATATGTGTATTATACAAGCACAGAGTTTCAGCAGTAACCACAAGCACTGCCTATCCCATCAGTGCTCATATTTAGTAAGGGAGGTATGCACAGCTGCCTTCATAGCAAACAGAGAAGCACATGGGTGGGGGAGAAATAAGGATAACTTCCCAGAAGATACTAGATGGTGCTAGAACTGAATCTTGAATAGTTTCCAGGCCAATAGACAAGGATTGTAGAAAGGGCATTCCAGGTAAAGGCAAGAATGAAAAAATCCCAAAAATTGGATAAAAAGAAGCATAACCAAGGGGTTCTGCAAGCTGATGAGGACTGTTGGGACATTCGGAACATGAGTGGAGCTCAGGTAAAGAAACAGGTGGAAATAGGGGTGCCTGGGTGGCTCAGTTGTTTAAGTATCCAACTTTAGCTCAGGTTATGGTCTCACGGCTTGTGAGTTCGAGCCTCACATCAGGCTCTGTGCTGACAGCTCAGAGCCTGGAGCCGGCTAAAGACTCCCTGGCTTCCTCTCTCTCTGCCCCTTCCCCGCTTTCTCTCTCTCAAAAATAAATAAACATTAAAAAGAATTTTTTAAGGAAACAGGTGGAAATTATACTGTAAGTGGTGGTGGTGGGTTACATTTTTAAAAAGAATTATGTAATTACATAATGGACTGTAAGGGGAAAGATTAGAGGGAAAGAGACTGGTTCAAAGACTGGTCCTAAGACTTAAACTGAGCTGGGTGAGGAAAAGAGGTTGTTGGATAGATGATGTTCCAAAGTAGAATTCTCAGAACTTTATACCAGGGAAAGTGAGCGAAAGGGAATCATCTAAGAGTGCCTAGGTCTCTGGTAGGTGGAGTTATGTGGGTTCCACCTTGCATCTGTACAAGCCGTCTCAAAAACCTCAAATATTTAAAATGCTTACATATACTCTACTTTTTTTGAGAGAAAATTTTAAGCAGGCTCCATGCTCAGCGCAGAGCCTGATGTGGGGATCAATCCCATGACCCTGGGATCATGACCTTAGCCGAAATCAACTGACTGAGCCACCCAGGCACCCTTCTACTGTTTTTTAATCTTAAGATATTTTTTACTAATAATCTTCATGTAAAACTTATGCTCCAGGAAGATGCCCAATATTTCTTCTATGGCATTGAGTACCCTAAGCCATACACCTGTGAGGAAAAAGTACTTGTCCCCAGTAAAAAGCATTGGGTTAATGGAACTCCAGAGCAAGATGATAGTGGAGAAGAAAAATGCAGAATAAGTGGCCTAATACTAAATAGCACAAAAGCAAGGTCAACCAAGTAATATTTACCAAGTTTACATTTCAGGAAAATACATTTGAAAGCATTTGTCTCTTCAAAAAGCTGAGAAGTTGGGAGAATGTGTAAGAAAGTCAGAAGGGCACACAGACACCGCAGACTTAAAGAGGCTTGCCTCCTACTGTGGAGAATTGGGACATGTCCTTTCTGTCCTGGGGAGAGCTCCCTTTTGGGTCTATCTGGTGTCTACAGCCTCACTAATCCTAAGCCTGTTGCTCAGCCACAAAGCTTCTGGACTCCTGTCCCCTGTCCCTCGGCCCCCTTTCCCCTGGCCTCCGACAGACCTGTATCTCCCTGATCTGGGGCAAATCCTTGTTGCCTCTCCTCCATCCACAAGACCCCTTTTTGGCCTCCTGGTGGTCCCTTGCCATATTAACATGTTCAAATATTCCCCCAGTCAGAAAACCGCACCCCTCAAGCTCCAGTGCTTTCTTTGCCTCCAAGATTACCAGCTCCAGAGAACCCCTCAGACCAAAAGCCCGGCGGCTGCCCTCCCCCCACCAGCCAGGGTAACAGACCTCCCCTCTACCCAGTCCCGAGGACCTTGCCCTGTCGGCCTCTGCAGACTCTTGCACGGTGGTCCCCTGGGTGGCTGGGGGTCTCCTCCCCGTTTCTCCCCCGTCTCTCATTGTCCAGCTCCCTTTCTGCCTACCTTGTCTCCGTTGCAGTTTTCAAGGTTACATTTGCGGCTCTTTTCTCTTACTCAGGATACACTTTGCCTAAACAGCGCCGTCCAACCGACGCCTTTGTTGAAGTTGTTTCCTTGGCCGGAGATATCCTCCCTTCCACCGGTCAACTCCTCTCGGGACCGCGCTGTTGCGCTAGGAACTCGGGCTCTCTCCTCCGCTTCACAGCCACCGCCGGTTACAGTCTCGCCTGTCCGTGTCCCCTTCCCGTCCTGCGAACCCCTTCAACACTTGACACACTCGGGCTAATCATTTCACATCCTGCCTCACCAGACCGTGCCGGCTTGACGACACAGACGCGACAAGCGCCCGCAGTGTTGGTTATGAACAGGAACAATGTAGTCCCGAGACCACCAGATAACTTGAGTATCTTTTTCATCCAGAATGTTTTCATTAAAGCGTTGCTTTGGGTTTGGTTTTGGTTTGAAAGGCGCTACATTTACATGGTACAAAGTTCAAACGGTATTGGGGGGGAGAAGCCTGAACTCAGTGTTACTCTCTTCTTGTGTATCTTTGCATGTACATGAAAGCCTTGCCCTCTAGCGCTGGACACTCAGCTCCTTTCGCCGGTGACTATCGTCCCGCTAAGCAGCCCTCTGCGCCTTCGCGCTGCCTCCTGGCAGCTGCCGGACCTCCCCGCGCCGGGACCGTGCGCCCTGCTTCCCCTGGCGGCGGCGCCTGGCGCTGCAGCGGCCGCACGTCCCGCCCCGCCCCGCCCCGCCCCAGCCTCGGCGGGCCCGGCCGGGGGAGGGGTCGCGGCGGCGGCGGCGGCGGCGGCGTCAGCGGCGGCCCGGGCGGTGGGAGCCCAGGCGCCAGAGCAAGATGGCGGCGCGAGTACTGCACGCCCGCAGAGCCGCTTGGGCCGGCGGTCTCCTTCGGCGCGCCGCCCCCTGTAGCCTCCTGCCGGTGCTCCGGTGAGCAGCGCCGCCCTTTCCGGGAGCGGCCGGGGAGGGGCCGCCGCGGGGCAGAGGACGCGGGGTCCCCGGCGCGGGTCTCCGCCCCGGCCCAGCAGCGCTCCTTCGGGGCAGGGCCGCAGGGGTTGTGGGGCGGCTAGGGCCGAGGCCGCTGTCGGCCGGGCGGGGCGGGAGCCTTGGCGGAGTCGGAGCGCCTTCCCGGCCGGGCTCAAGGTCATGGCGGGGACGGCGCTCGGCGCCAAGACCACGTCCGCTTGCCGTGCGGGCTCGGCCTGCGGGACCTTGACCCTGCGAGACCCGCGCGGTGGCCGAGGGCGCGCGAGCGGCTGAGGCCCCAGGCCCTGGACTCGGCCTCTCGCTTCCCGCGGGCGCCCAGAGAAGGATAAGAGCCCGCGCAAAGCCTAGATGTCCGCATCTGCAAATGGCAGTAGAGCTACTACTCACCTCTTAGGTTGTGAACAACTAAAATAACGTGTCGTCCCGTCCGAACCCTCAGTGAAGCACAAGGGTAGTGGTGGGGAGGCCTCAGCGCTACGAACAGTGTTTGACTTGCATTGAAAAGTACGTAACGGATCAAAAAGTATGTACAGTTATCAGCGCTCAGTAGGCGTTGGGTTCAAGTTTAAACGTTTCTAATCTCATTGCATTAAATATTTGGTTTTCTGAATTCATCCCTTTGACATATCCATGTCCCATATTCTATGTTCAGAAGCCAAGTTCATACCAACGTACACGTAGATTTGCTTTATTGTTTTCTTTAAGTTGGATAATTTAAACGTTATCAGTTTTGTTAAATAATGAGCCTCTAGAGAGTTCAGTTGTCACTTAACAAAAGAGTAAAGGAACTGCCTGTTTGTTAAACTCTTACTGTAGGCCAGAGAGCTTATTTAATTTAATCCTAGTAGCAATTTTAAGCAGTAAGTAACAGGATCTCCATTTTACAGATGGGATGGAACCTCAAAGCAGGTGAGACACCTAGCTAGAAAAGGCATTTGACTTCAGGTTTGTCAGGCTTCAGGCCGAGCACCCTTCTTAGGACTGATGGCCAACTTGTATTTCCTAATCTGATGTTTATGTTTCCAAGTTGATTAACGAATCAACCTCCTTTTATTTTTATTCTGTTGCTGACCATCTACTGTGTGTCTTATTTTTTTTCACACAGGTTATATGAGCCTGTGAAATTCATATTTCTTTCCAAAAAAGACCTCTGAGGCTGAAGGTGTTCACCCAAAATACTCACCTAAAGTGCCCAAGGTCATAAAGCTAGTAAACTGGAGATTTGGACTTGGGTCTGCCCAGTACCCCCACTTCCTCCTGGGGCCGAGTGCTTTTGAATCTGAAGTCCTTATCTCTATCTCTGTCCAACCTGTTGACTCTTGGATTACTCTCTCAAGCCCCCCGTACCGTTTGACCACTCTCCCTTCCTGAGCACTAGTCTGCTTCAACTCTAGGTGTTCTTTAGGACTCAGTTTAGACCCAGTTGATTCACTAATTGTACAAATACTGAATATAGTTGATGTCTTTGAAGTCTTGTGGAACTCAGCATTAATAATAGCCATGGTCACTGTCCCCAGGAAGCCGTGGCAGAGGTAAAAACTCGTAGAGACTTACATTTTGAGGTGGGTGGTTCGAGAGAAGATCAGGGAACGTACCACATGAGATCATGGAAGGCCTCTCCAAGAAGGTGGCATTAAGCTGAAATTTGAAGGGTCAGTGTGCAGCAAAGCCCTGCCTGCAAAGGATGAAAGCATCCTGGGAAAATCCAGAAAAGTCAAGGAAGGGCAGAGCTCATGAGTGAAGGGAAGACTGGCTAGAGGACAGGTGGCAAGGAGCAGGAGCCAGGTAATTCCAGGTCTCACAAGCCAATTTAGAGAAGTTGGATTTTATTTTGAGCGTCATGGAAGACATTTAAAGATCTAAATTCTAGTATGACATGATCTGCTCTGTTTTTAAAGTATTAGTCTGGGGGCGCCTGAGTGGCTCAGTCGGTTAAGTGTCCGACTTCAGCTCAGGTCATGATC